CCTCCCCAGCCCGCCTGGCCTGCGCTCGCCCCAGCGCCCCGTGCTTGCCCCCGCAGACGCGCCCTGCCGCGAGGACTCGGACGCCGCCGGCCCCCCAGTCTCGGTAAGATCTGCCCCCACGCCGGCTTCTCCTGCGTGCACGGAGCGGCCGTGCATGCTGACCGCACCACCGGGTCGCGCGGCCCCTGCCCGCCACGGTGAACCGCACTCACGTGCGCCCGCCCTCGCCACTCTGCCCCGCGGGACCAGGGCCAGGGCCGCTGTGCTCAGCACAGGCTGCGGCCAGGCCTGCCGCTGGGGGCGGCTCCGCGGGCCTGTCTAGCGCTCTGTCACCAGCCGGTGACTGGACGCCGGGAGCAGCTCGCTGCAAGCCTGGGTGGTCGCCGCTGAACAGGAGGGGCGAACCCCACTCCTCCGCCCTCAAAATGCAATGGCAAGATTTGCAGTGAACACACATCCCAGGCCAAGGCGACCTCGCAGACGCCTAGAGCCGCCGGCAGCGCCTGCACCCCACCGCTGTCCGCCCACCCCCCACGTGTAACCAGGAAGAAGAGCCTTGGGGTGAAGCTAGCAACGACGAGGACGACCCCAAGGAGAAGGCTCTCTCCGAAGACCCGGAGACGTGCCTGCAGCTGAACATGGTCTACCAGGAGGTCATCCAGGAGAAGCTGGCCGAGCTGGGCCTGCTGCTGGCTCAGAACCGGGAGCAGCAGGTGGGATGGGGGCCTGGACCCGAGCCCCTGGCAGGCCCGCGCCCACGGCCCCGGCCCATGCCCTGCCTGGTGTTGCAGGAGGAGCTGGCCTGGGGCCTGGCCGGGTCCAGGGGCCCCAAGGGGAAGGACGGCCGGAGCCTGCCCCCGCACACCTACATCGGGCACTTCATGAAGCCCTACTTCAAGGACAGGGCCACCGGCGTGGTGAGTGGACGTGGCCTGCTCAGCCCGGGAGCCAGCACCCCAGCCCCGGCAGCGGGCTGCCCTGCCTCCGTCCTGCGGGACCATGTCCCGTCTCCTCTGCTGGGTCCGTGGGCGACAGCCCAGTGCCCCGGCCCGAGGAAAGCTGCCCTGCTCTCTGCTCCACAGATAAGCTTCGCGTGTTCGCTGGGGAGGGGCGGCCAGGGTGTGGCCATGGCCTGTCCCCCGGGGAGACTGAGGAGGGCTCTGGGGGACCCCCAGGCCCTCTGGGTAAGCGTATCCGGGCCATGATATCCGTCCCTGACAGGGGCCTCCTGCCAACGAAGACACGCGGGAGAAGGCGGCCCAGGGCATCAAGGCTTTCGAGGAGCTTCTGGTGACCAAGTGTAAGCGTTGGCTGTAGCGTCCACCGGGCTCAGGCCCCCGCCCCCAGGACCGGCCGTGTAGGCCCTGCCTTGCCACTGAGCAGGCTCCTCGTAGGCACCTGGGCTGGCCAGGCTTGCGGTGTCCCTGAGCACAGCTGCCCTGCCACGCCCGGGTGGGCGCCCTGCAGAGGCCGCCTCTCTCCCCAGTGCAGGCTGGGGCGTGCCTGCCTCGAGGCCCCGGGTACACCCTCTACCGTCTTTGCAGGGAAGAGCTGGGAAAAGGCCCTGCTGAGGAAGTCGGTGGTGAGCGGCCGCCTGCAGCGCCTGCTTCAGCCCAAGCTCCTGAAGTGAGTCCAGGCCATGCGGCGCCCGTCAGCGGCCTGGCCAGGCTGGGCTCACGATGGGCCCTCCCCGGACCCCTGCTCACCCGCCCGCTGCCCAGGCCCTCCCAGAGGGGGCAGCCCGGCGCTCTGGCCGGCCTCAAGTGCCCCTGGGGGTGGGCGGCCCCCGTCTCCACCTGAGTGAGCAGGCGCATGCCGGGCTAGCGAGGTCGGGACCCAGGAGCATGCTGCCGTGGGCGAGGGGCCCCGGGGACAGCTCTCCCGCCCTCCCCAGGGGCTGTCCCGCTCACGCCCACTATCTGCACCTGCTGCCTGTGGTCACTCAGCCCGGCCCCTGCTGTGCCCGCAGGCTCGAGTACCTGCACCAGAAGCAGGGCCGCGCCACCAGCGAGGAGGAGCGTCAGGCCCTGGGGACACAGGCCAGGGAAGCCGAGCGTGAGGTCCAGGAGATAAAGTGAGCGGGCTCGCGGCGAGGCGGGCCGGGCCGGGCGGCCAGGGGGGCCAGACCTGAGCCCTCGCCCTTGCAGCCAGCTCTCCGAGGAGGCCCTGCTGGGGGACAGGCTGGACAGTCACGACTGGGAGAAGATCGCCAACGTGGCCGTGAGTGGGCGGCCGGCCTCCCGAGCAGGGCGGGCTGGGCGAGGCCTGCTGCAGCAGAGAACACATACCCTCCGGCGTGGCCACGCGTCCGGTGGCGGGTCGGCACCTGGGCCCTGCCCGCTGACGTGCGGCGCCTTTCCCAGGGCGGGCACGGGCGCCTTGGGCCGTTTGGCAGCCACGCCTGTGCCCCGCGGAGCTGGCGCCGGGCTGGCTGCACTCAGCGTTCCCGCATCTCGGCTGCAGAGCTGCGCGTGAGCGGTGGCCACAGCCAGTTCCTCTGTGCACAGTTTGAAGGGGCACGGGGCGCAGAGGAGATCCGGAAGTTCTGGCAGAACAGCGAGCACCCCAGCATCAACAAGCAGGAGTGGGGCGCGCAGGAGGTGGAGCAGCTGAAGGCCCTCGCCGCCCAGCACGGGCTCCTGGCCTGGCAGAGGGTCGCCGAGGAGCTGGGGGTGAGCAGGCTGGCCCCTGCGCTCCGGCGCGCGTCCTGCTGCGGTGGGAGCTGGCGCCCGGCCCGGCCCGCTCCCGCCGGGCACAGGCAGGGGGCTGCATCCTGGCGTTGGGCTTCCAGGCTGCGCCGGCTCGGGCCGCCTGTCCCCCACGGCCGGGTGCCTTGGCGGCGAGTCTGCACGACCGCGGAGCCGGCGGGCGGCCTGAGCGTGGCTGCGGCACCTGCCTCCGTGTCCCTGCACTCCTGCTGCCCGCGCTGGGCTCCCAGGCTCTGGGTGCGCCCCCGTGGGGGGGCTGGCGTGCAGTCAGAGCAGTGCCAGGCCCACCACACTCGCGCACCCTGGCCTCGTCACCACGGGTCACAGGTGGGCCTGCTGGCCACGCGGCGTCGCCCGGAGGCCACGGCTGACGTTGGGTCATTCGCGGGGGGGCAGAGCCTGGCCTGCACCCACCTGTCCCCCCAACGCTGGCAGGCATGGCCTCTGGGGCCCCCTGAGGGTAGGGGTGTCCAGGGCATGCTCACCAGCGCCCCGAGCCCAGTGAAGGGATAGCCGGGGCAGGAGCCCTCCTGGGCACTTGGTAGGGTGTGTCCCAGGGGCCCTGCCGCCTCCCGGCGTCGGCCTCAGACCCCAGCCAGAGGGCAGGGCTGAGAGGAACCTGCAGGGCAGCCCCGCTCCTGGGCCCGGTGGGCCACCTGGCCCAGGCCGGCAGGCGGGGTGGCGGGCCCCGGCTCCCCCTGACCCTCCGACCTGTCCCGCCACAGACGCACCGCAGCGCCTTCCAGTGCCTGCAGAAGTACCAGCAGCACAACCCGGAGTTGAAGCGCAGGGAGTGGACGGAGGCCGAGGACCGCGCGCTCCGCCAGCTGGTGCAGGAGATGCGCGTGGGCAGCCACATCCCCTACCGCAGAAGTGTGTGGGCGGCCGGCGGGCGGGCGGCCGGCAGTCTCCGCGGTCAGGCCAGCCCTGTGCGCTGGCCCGAGCCGCCTGACGGCAGCCTCTGTCCCCAGTCGCGTACTACATGGAGGGCAGGGACTCCGTGCAGCTCATCTACCGCTGGACCAAGAGCCTGGACCCTGGCCTGAAGAAGGGGTCCTGGACACCCGAGGAAGATGCGGTGAGTCGGCAGGGCCCTGGCGCCCGCTCTGGCTCACGCGCGGAACGGCTGTGGGGCCGAGGTCCCCAAGGAGGTGCATCGCCTGCCTCTTCTGCAGAAATTGCTTCGGGCAGTCGCCAAGTACGGGGAGCAGGATTGGTTTAAGATCCGGGAGGAGGTGCCAGGTAGGAGCGATGCCCAGTGCCGAGATCGGTGAGTCGGACAGCACTGGGCGTGGCCTGCGGGCTCGCTGGTGCTGAGTGCTGGGGGGCATGCGGGAGGCAGTGGGGGTGCAGAGTGCCCTGGGGTGGGTGGGCGGGGCAGTGGGGGTGCAGAGTGCCCCGGGGGCGGGCGGGACAGTGGCCAGGGCCGGGCTGGCCGGCACAGGCGGGCTGTTTGTCTCCAGGCCAGATGTGAAGTCAGCTGACGCGGGCAGCCAGGGCCCCGAGCCCGGAGGGCCGCCCGCCCCGTGCCCCTGGGGGGGCTCCTGACAGCCGGCCACGGGCCACAGGTGGCCCGGCCCGTGTGGCTCTGGGGACCCAGCGAGTTCAGGGCCCCCACAGCGCCATCACTGAGAACGTCTGGCCCCCACAAAGGGCCCGCCCCGGGTCCTGAACCGCACGGCTTGACGCGGAGCGGGGGGCGCGGTCGTGCTCCCGGCGGCATGCACGGCGCCCCCACGTCGGCC